GGTATGCTGTCTGTCTCTGTCTTTCGGTGCCTCGCGGGTTCAACTTTGTGAGTGCGGGATGGGTTGACACCTTGTGATTAACTGTGAAGTGGCTGCACGGGTTTGGGAACCCTCTAATTCTGCAACTAGGTCCCCTCTGGGCTCATACCCTCCTTATCTATTGGTGTCCTGTGGAATTCCGTAGGATATTGTGTGTGTGTCGTTCAATGTGTGGTGTCCTTTGTTGGTTCGAGTACTCCTGGCCCTTAGTCCCATCTCCCTTTGGCTTAGTGCCCTCCATGTTGTAGTACCTTGCGGTGCGAATGACAGGGATTGTACGGTCCCTGGTTCCCCTCCCCTGTGTTAGGTATTGGCTTTCGTTGTGCCGTTGGTGTCAAGTGTTGTGTGGGGTTGGGGTGGTCCCCCGTTTGTGTGCAACTCCTTGTTTCTGGGTTAGGGAGGTCAGCGTGTCTCTGAATTTACTCCCGTGGTCCTATGCCTTGGCCGTCCGTGGTCGTAAGAGGGAGTTCAGCTTTCTTGGGTTAAGGTGTGTCAGTGTTTATGTCCGTCCGAGGTCTAGAGAGTGGGTTCAGGGGTTGTTATGTGTGCAGGGAGTTGTCCTTTAGTACATGCGTGTGTTCAGTCTATGCTAGGTCCCCGCCTCCGTCCCCCCTGAGGCGTGCACCGCCCCCCCCCCCGCGCGGGCCCGCTGCTCTCTTGGTCACATAGTCCATCCATGGGTACCAGGTCAGTGCACACTTTTCCGCACGTCCCTGCAATGAGGCTGTCATCCTTTCCATGTTGTAGATATCTTCCACCCTAGCGATCCACTGTTCTAGTGAGGGTATTGACATGGTTTTCCAGTGTGTGGGGATAAGCGTCTTAGCCGCCGTGAGCAGGTGTATAGTGAGCCCTCTTTTGTATGCTGTCAGTGGGGTATGCCTATGGTTGAGCAACATCGTCAGGGGTTGTAGCGGAAGTTCAGTGCCTGTGATATCTTCTATTGTGCGGTTTATCGTTCGCCAGTAAGGGGCTATAAGGGGACATGTCCACCAGATGTGGTATGCTGTGCTCCTTTCAGTTCCGCATCTCCAGCAGTCGTCGGAGATCGTGTCATGGATATGTCTTAGGATGTCCGGGGTCCTGTACCAGTGCGTCAGGATTTTATAGTTGCACTCCTGATATTTTGAGCTTATGTTTCCCTTATGCGTCAGTAGGAAGATTTTGTTCCATTCATTATCCGTGAGCTCAGTCCCCGTTTCTATTTCCCACCGCCTCGTGAAGCCCAGGGCGTTCTTATCTCCGTTATTCATTAGAGCGGTATACATAGTTGACACGCCATGTGAGATGTGTTGCCTGGTCGCGCATAGTTGTTCCAGATACAAGAGGGGGCGGTGTACGTGATCCTTCCCCTTGATAGGGTTGTAGTACGTTTTGAGCTGGTGGTAATGGAATTCATCCAGTCTGGTAGGTCTGCGATCCTGTATCAGATCTGTCAAGGGTTTCAAGCTCCGGCCGCTGCACCATTGGTGTAGGTAGACCCAATCTGTCGCCTGAAAGTTTTTAAGGGCAGTAGGAGTTAGTCCATCGGCTAGTTTTGGGTTGTTGGTTATGGGTGTGAGCGGGTTGGGGGCCGTGGTGAGCTGCTTGGTATATCTTATTCCGCACCAGACCCTGAGGGTGGCGTCTATCATTGGGTTGCCTGTGCTTATTTCTCTAAGCGTAGCCTCTCCCAACCACAGCAAGGCGGGGATCTTCCCCTGTGCTTGATGAAGCTCCATGTCCACCCATTGCTTAACGTTTGGGTTGGCGTGCCAGTCCACCAGTCTATGTAGGTGGGTCGTCTGGTAGTACATGAGTACGGACGGGAGTCCCATACCTCCGTCACTCTTCGGTCGCTCCAAAATCGTTCTCCAAACCCGTGTAGGCCTTTTGTTCCAGACAAACTGTCTAATATCGGTCATTAGCGTCTGGAAGAAGACTCTGGGGATAGTGGTAGGTAGCGTCTGAAATAAGTATAGAACGCGCGGCATAATATTCATTTTTATAGCGCTTATGCGACCGAACCACGATATGTACTTGGACGCCCATCGTTTTAAGTCCTGTTGTAGCGTTACAAGGAGAGGCGTAAAGTTCAGTTGGTAGATCTGCGAGAGTTCTTTCGGTAACCAGACTCCGAGGTATCGGAGCTTTGTTGTGCAGATTTTGAACGCGAAGTGTGCTTCAAAGTGCTGTGTTAGGGTCAGGTTTTGTGCCACCTGCATCGCCTCTGATTTTTCTAGGTTAAGTTTTAGATTAGAAACTTTGCTATATTGTTTGAACTCCTCGAGCAGATTCGGGGTCGAGATTCTGGGTTGTTCCAGGAAGAAGAGCATGTCGTCCGCATATGCCGTGACTCGGTGTTCCGTTCGGCCCAGGCGAGTCCCCATTATGCCCCCGTCCCGTCTGACCGCCTCCAGAAAGGGTTCGAGAGTGAGGGCAAACAGGAGGGGTGACAGGGGGCATCCCTGGCGGGTACCGTTGTGGATGCTAAATGGTTTTGTCAGTGCTCCATTGACCCGAATGTTGGGGAAGTGTATAGTGCGGCCACCCATGTTCGTATGTGGGTGCCAAAGCCCATGTGGCATAGCGTCTCCGTGAGGAAGGTCCAGTCCACCCTGTCAAACGCTTTTTCGGCGTCTGTCGACAGGAGCACCACCTCCCGTTTTCCAATCTTGGCCGAATGTATGACATTGAGGGCTCTGATGGTGTTGTCCCTGGCCTCCCTCCCGGGTATGAAACCGACTTGGTCAAGGTGTACCAAGTCGGTAGGATATGGGAAAGCCGTAGCGCCATTGCCTTAGCGAATATCTTCAGATCCGCATTTAGTAAGGAGATTGGGCGGAAGCTGGCACAGTTCGTGGGGTCTTTACCCTCTTTTGGGAGGACAGTGATTGTGGCTCTCAGGGTGTCCGTAGGGAAGTGGCCATCCTGTTGAATTGAGTTGAGGCCTGTGAGGAGTCTCGGCAATAGGATGTCCCTGAAGGTGCGGTGGTATGATAGCGGTAACCCGTCCGGGCCTGGTGCCCGATGCGGCTTTGAGACTTTCATGGCACCGGCCAATTCTTCGATCGTCAGAGGTTGGAACAGTTCCGCTGCCTGTTCCGAGGTGAGTTTTCTGGCCACATGGTTTTCAAGGTATGTCCGGACTTGGTCCTTATGACGCTGCTCCACGGGACCCTCCCGAGCTCGTGCTTGCGTATAGAGTGCCGCATAGTAATCTTGGAAAGCTTCGGGGATGCCTTCCGGTAGGCGTGTGACTTCTCCCTCCCGTGTGTGTATTTTGTGGATGTGTTGTGCCCTCCTTTTGTCTTGTAGCATCTTCGCCAGCAACCTGCCGCTCTTATTGGAATGTTCGTAGAAGAATCTGGCTGATTTTCTAGCCGTGTGATAGTATGTCTCGGAGTTCTCTGCGGGCGATTGTGAGGTGTAGGTATGTGCCTTCTTCTAGCGTGTGTTTATGTTCGTATTCTAGTTTGGCTATGCGCTTCGTTAGAGTGATGAGGCGTGCGGATCAGTCCTTTTTGCGTCTAGTGCTCTCTGCGATGAGACGGCCCCGGATGACACATTTATGCGCTTCCCAGAGTGCCAGTGGTGTGGTCTCCGAGTTCTCGTTGTCAGCGAAATATTGGGTTAGGGTGTCGGCAACCATGGTCTTAAGTGCGAGGTCCTCAAGTAGGGATTCATTAAGTTTCCACTGTCTTTCTCGAGGTTTAAACAGTGGAGAACTGATGTGAGCCACCACGGGAGCATGGTCGGAGTAGTCCAGTAGCTCGATGTCGCCACTTGTGCCTGGAGAGGACTGCTTGCCCGCCTCTTGCCCTGTGACTATGGCCCCTGGGATGTATTGCCCTTTAAAGACATGATTTGGGCATAATGGATTTGTGTTGTGCTGCTGCTGGCCCTTTAAGAACCATCTGGGGACATACTGTGGAGTTACTGGGTGGCCACCATTTCCTGTATCAGAAGCACATGGTGAGAACAATGGATGGCGGCCATTTTAACTCACAGACACTGTTTGGACTTTTCAACACGGTGCCATCTCGCCAGTATTTGGTGCACAGAGACATCGTGCAGTGGTTTTGGACTATACAGCAGGGGACACATTATAAAGTGATTGTTTTTCATTTAGCCTGTATATGTTCTGCAGAATCTGCATTAAACTGTATTTTCCAAAGTACTGAACGGATCTGGGTGAATTTTGGATATGTGGTTCACCCAGATCCCCCGGTTCAAGGATATACTTTTTATGGGGTTATTGCATGTTTTGGGGTCCCTGTGTGTTTTATGAAACTGTATTATTTCTGGCCAGCAGATAATTGAGCTTTGTGTATTGTAGAAACTCAATTATCTAGCCTGGCCCAGAGGAGGAGTTTTGTTTTGCATAAATTGTGAGTTCTGTGTGCCAGTAAATCAGTCTTGTTCCAGCATTAAGCCTTGGCTCATGTTTGGGGGATTGGAGAAATACACTCGGGGGATTGGAGAAATACACTCTGGGGATTGCTATAATCACTATACTCCCCAGGGTATGATCACTAAGTTCTGCTAAGAGCTTGTTCCTGTTCCTGCTCTCTGGGGAAAGAGAGGTTCACCCACTGGAAGCTGGATCCTGGCCTTGGGTCCAGGGTGGGTGGAGACAGCAGAGACCCCGGCGCAGTTGCATCGCTGGAAGTGGGTTCTGCAGTGCTGATGTGTCGGTTGGAGTGCTTGGAGTCTTCAGCGAGCACTAGGAGCATCGATTGGCGGAGGTACTCAGTCGGAGTGCCAGCGTTCCGTCACATTTGGTGGCAGCGGCGGGATGGCGTCCTAGTGCGAGGACCAGCAGCTCGGAGACACCGGTAACGTGTGGAGTTACGGATTTATAATTGAGGGCAGCGCTAGCACTTGTGCAGCGACCCTGGCTTCAGAGGAACTCAAGGGATAGAGCTAGCTACGGGCAGCGTCCCTATCCACAGCAACATGGAAGAGGAGTTTCGCTGGAGGTTGCAGCAGCACTTGGCCCAACAGGACGGGCCTGTATCAGAGGAGTGCATACTGGACTGGAGAGATGTCACTCGTACGGAGATGTGGCGCGATGCCCTGGAAAAGGTACAACGGCGGCGGGGAGAGAGCCTTCCCAGTGACGAGCAGCGGTTCCAGGTACTCGAGGCCCTGCGCTCCCCTTTCCTAGGGGAGCAACCCTTGGATGAATGGTTGTTGGAACTCTGGGATTTAATTTGGAAGGAGTTGTGGCTAGATGCAGCTTACCGGGCATTAAAGTGGTACGCCACCCAGCGCAGCCCCTCGATGACTAACCACTATCTGCCCGAGGGAGAGGATTATAATGGCCCAGGCTTACTGTGGGAGGCCTATGAGGAGGGCGATGACTTTGGATGCCCCACAGAGTTTCGGTTCTGGGACATCCACAACATCAGGGAAACCCTGCTGGATCTTCCCCGAGCGGACGACCTGGGGCCAGACCTGAGTCATCTGGTCGCAATGGAGTGGGGGCTGGAGCAGAGCTACCGGCGCCTGTTCAACTTAGCCCAATCACCGTCCCTCAGCCCAGAGGATTACCTGGACACCCTACCCTCTTCTGTCCAACCAGCCCCAGAGGTGAGCAACCTTATGGAACGGTCCTGGGAAGACCCACAGATGGCAGGTGGAGATGGAACTGAGGTCTCTCCACCTGCCCCACAGGGATGCTGGGTACCCGGCCCAGATCCCCAGCGGCAGTGTATCTCACAGGGAGAGGAGACAACCGGTCTCCCTTCCCAGCAGCAGCCTGAGTTCCAGGAGGAGGTGATGGTAGATCCCTCCACCTTACAGCAACCAGCGTCCTGGGGAGTGGGGGCAACCAGCCTCCCCCTCCAACAGCAGCCAGAGATACCGGGAGAGGGGGAAGACAAACCTAACCACACTGGCACAGATGGGACCGCGGTCTCTGTGCCAGTCCTACAGAGAGGCTGGACGGGCGGTCCAGATCCCCAACCAACTCCGCAGGGATGCCAGGAGGAGGAGGTAAGTGAAACTTCCCCTCCCCAGCTACATCCCAACCGGGTCCTGGGGGCAGTGGATGAGCCTGCGATACCCACTGACCCCCTCCCAGCAGAAGAGCTGGCCTCTGGGCAGAGCTCTGTTAGCCTCTGCCCCCCCTTTTCCCCTGTATCAGAGCCTGACTTACCATGGGTTACCCCAGTGGAAGAGCTGGCAGCAGGGCAGAGCGCCGCTGGCCTCTGCCCCCCAAGCAACACCAGCAGTTTGCCTAGCTGCACCAGGGAGACCGAGAGTGCTTCGCTGTCCCACTACAAACTTGAACCTACAGGCCAGTACCATTTATTGTGGGGGGGGTTACTCTGCATATTTTTCTTTGTGGGTGGGCTGCCCGACTAATCTAGGTACTGACCGGCAGAAGGTCAGGTACCTGTTTAGTCTTCCCCCCAAAGGGAAGATGTGTGACGAAGTGCCCTTCGCCACTTGTGCCTGGAGAGGACTGCTTGCCCGCCTCTTGCCTTGTGACTATGGCCCCTGGTTTGTATTGCCCTTTAAAGACATTATTTGGGCATAATGGATTTGTGTTGTGCTGCTGCTGGCCCTTTAAGAACCATCTGGGGACATACTGTGGAGTTACTGGGTGGCCACCATTTCCTGTATCAGAAGCACATGGTGAGAACAATTGATGGCGGCCATTTTAACTCACAGACACTGTGTGGACTTTTCAACACGGTGCCATTTCGCCAGTATTTGGTGCACAGAGTCATCGTGCGGTGGTTTTGGACTATACAGCAGGGGACACATTATACAGTGATTGTTTTTCATTTAGCCTGTATATGTTCTGCAGAATCTTCATTAAACTGTATCTTCCAAAGTACTGAACGGATCTGGGTGAATTTCGGATATGTGGTTCACCCAGATCCCCCGGTTCCAAGGATATACTTTTATGGGGTTATTGCATGTTTTGGGGTCCCTGTGATGTATATTTTAGAAGTTATGAATGCTGTAAAAATTGTAATGTTTCTGGCCAGCAGATAATTGAGCTTTGTGTATTGTAGAAACTCAATTATCTAGCCTGGCCCAGAGGAGGAGTTTTGTGTTGCATAAATTGTGAGTTCTGTGTGCCAGTAAATCAGTCTTGTTCCAGCATTAAGCCTTGGCTCATGTTTTGGGGATTGGAGAAATACACTCTGGGGATTGCTATAATCACTATACTCCCCAGGGTATGATCACTAAGTTCTGCTAAGAGCTTGTTCCTGCTCTCTGGGGAAAGAGAGGTTTACCCACTGGAAGCTGGATCCTGGCCTTGGGTCCAGGGTGGGTGGAGACAGCAGAGACCCCAGCGCAGTTGCATCGCTGGAAGTGGGGTCTGCAGTGCTGATGGTGTCGGTTGGAGTGCTTGGAGTCCTCGGCAAGCGCTAGGAGCATTGATTGGCGGAGGTACTCAGTCGGAGTGCCAGCGTTCCGTCACAGTCGTGTTTAGGAGTTTAAATAACTCCGCTTTCCTTGCTGTAGCAGGGTAGGGAATTTGACGTCTCTTTAACTCTGTTGTAATGCGCGGTATTGTCCAGGATCTGATTGACGCTGGACTGGCCATATCTCCCCTGTGAGAAGGTGTCTCGTCCCTAGCTGGGGTACTAGGAAGCAATAGCTCCTCACCACTTGCATGAGACATGTTTAACTAAAATAAAAGGTAAAATTATTATTTGAACCAGGTGTTTTAGTACTGGCTTGCTAGCTATGCCGTAAGGCGAAATGATTATGCTTAAGTTTGTGACTGGTGAGGCCCTGCTAGTGCCAAATGGCTTGAGAGGCTCTATCTATGTGTTGGCGCGATGGAATTTTTGTGGCCACCGATCATAGTGGCAGGATGATGGCCTCTCGGTGAGATTACTAAAAAAAAGGAAAGGGAGTGACTGGTGAGGCCCTCTCTATGAAACTTGCGAGGCGACTAGCTCACGAGTGGCTCGAGGGGTGTATGCCTCCGAGTATGAGGCGGGTTTGTTGGCCTCGCGGGACCACTAATCCGAAGCATAATGCAGAGAAGGAGATATAACAGCTATTGGCCCCTATGACCCTATCTGCCAGTACTTATCTATTATTTGGGGATCATATTTGGATATACTGTGAGCAGGTGTACGTACCTGAAAGTATAAGTAAAGAATTTTTTAGACAATCCGTTTAGGTGGCAGTAGATACCTGTAACTAAATAGATGGAAACCATATGAAAATAAATACAATGGATGAATCATTCTTATTAATGTTTATGTTCGCCCTGGAGAGATCAGTGGGGTTGATGTTTGTAGGATATCCGAGAGTTCAACTGTAACTATGTTATGTGGTAATTTTAATTGCTATTTATACCTAAATATATGTTCGTAATTTATCATTTGGTAATTTGTAGGGTCATTGTTTGTACAGCCCTGTAATAATGTTTGTACAGCCCTGATGATGTATGTATGCCATATGTTCCTGAAATGTGATTTGATCATGATCTAAGTTTATACGCATAGACAATCATAGTGCTCGCAACCCAATAATCAAAATTGAAAAGTTGGGCATACCATGTAACATTCATAGTGCAGTTGAAATATGCCTGTATGACCTAATAAACAATGACTAATAATGACTAATCGTGCCATGTAGCCCGTTTGTGGTGCGTTTTAAGAAGTTGTTCTCCTGACGTATGTAATAGAGAATGACCTTAGTGTCAGGATTAGTATGTAATAAATAATATAAGTGATACTTGAATTATTTATATGACCTGTAGGGGTCAGTGTATATAGAAAAACCCTTATGCTATTATGTAGCATGACCTGTAGGTGGCAGTGTAAATTTGGACATCCGAAATGTATTTAGTAACGTAATGCAACAAATGTGTGGAAGTGATTTTGATCAGTGATCAGATCACATGTGGAGGAAAACGTAACGTGACATAATAATTGGAATATAATCAAAGTAACTCAATTGAGGCAAATAACTCAAAAGTGGCAAATATGAACATAGTGATATGGATACCTAATTAAAATGAGGATTATGTAATGGGAAAATTGGAAATCACGTGACTGGCGTGACTGGAGCTAATCCCTATTGGAAATGTAGTTGGCGCCCGTAACTGCGCCTGCCGGCGTGCGATGTAATGAGATAAAAAGGGGGATGTGATTGGGAGTCATATGGAGGAATTATGGGGAATGTAGTTTTTCGGCGAGGATAATGTTTCAGCCGATAAGAGTATGTGATGAGTGACGGCGGCATGTGATATACATTTCTCACAGAGGTATGGGGAATTTAAAATATAACAGTTATGTGACCCTAAGTTATTTACTTGTATTTAACGATTAGACAGTGCGAAAGTGATAACTGGCTGTACGGGTGACTGCTAATGCCCGTCGGGCAACATGAGTTATGTATGAACGAGGGTAGCTGTATGTGCCTACCCATGGAACACGTAAATTCTTGTGTGTACGGTGTTATATCCTAATTACGAGTTGTTTAACCGGAACGAGTATGCATACTGTAAGCAGATACATATTGATAAAGAAAAGCCGGGAAAGTGATTTGATGGTTTAACCGAAACGTGCCCGTAAAGTGTGGACCTAGCCAGTTACCGATGCCGTGGGACTCTTGCCAGGCGGAACGGGTAGGTAAACTTACGGTATGCGAGTGCCTAGGATGTAATCTGCGGCGACGAAAAGAAGCTTAGAGGCTGGTCGGATGGAAACCTGCTGCTGGGTTCCTGGACACAGTTTCAGCGTGGAAGACCTCGTGAGAAGATGGAAGTATTCCAAAATGGCGACTGGATGAACCAGAAGTGCATTCAGACGCTGACCTTGATTGGTAAGGAGTCAGGTAAGAAGTGTAGTTTATATAGGGGAGTAAGTTAACTTAAGCCCCTCCCACAAATACAGGCCAAACGGCCTTACTACATTTGTTTGTGTTTAACCTTTTGAAATTATTCATTATTTGTAAAAATGTTTTAGTATTTTAATAATATGTGATACATTTTGTTATACATAATATATTTTTGATCTTTTAATTAGTTTTTTAAAAATCATATATTAAAAGTTTATCAAAAGATATTATATAATTTGAAAAGTATATATCCAAAAATATTAAATTATGGACCCAAGTGTGCAAATGAGGGGAAAAATGTATGTGCAGTAACAAAATCTATATTTATATATTATATAATTAATAAATACATATGTAACGGCACCCCCAGGCATAAAAGGGTTAAACCGCCGTTTAGTAGATCTTCCCCTTCCAGGCACAGCTACTGCAGAACACCAATCCGCCAAACAGGAAACCATACGAATGCTGTAAACAGCCGAATAGGAAAAACCATACGAATAGCTTTACACTCCTAGCAGTCGAACTGGAACAGCATACAATAAATCCCCCCAAGAACAAGACAAAGCTCCGTGTTGAGGGTCAAGCAGTGAAAAGAGGTGCTGGCACACCCAGCCTGGTTTTTATTACAGCCTTTTCAAATACAGGACCGCCCACAGGGAGGTATAAAACAACCAATCACATATCAGTTACATCCC